TAATGATTAGTTGAGCGGTGTAGCTCTTTCTCACAGAATGTTTTGCATGCCAGAAGTTGACATTGTTCAAAAACTATTAATCAAAAGAAGTTAATTCAGAGATACTAAATATAATAAAGACACAACCATCTACTTCATAACGTCATGGAGTCAAACTGCTGCAGGCAGAACACCATCTCATGCTTTCTTTTTCTCAGATTTTTCCACAGGTATTTTCTATGTTATACTTTTGTACTGCCACAGCTACAACCAAAGCTGACTTCTTCATTTCTAATCAGTGCGCATTACTGCTTAAGCTACTGACCATTGCCAATAGCAGGATACCTGACCTGAACTGTTTGGTTTGTTCCAGTATGGTTGCTCACACCTTCTTTTCCTTATATGAATACCTTATTTATGTTACTCGGATGAAAAGTTTTTTCTCATCTAACTCATTCTCATTTTCTCCTCATGCCTGGGACGATGCATGTTCATCCTACATGTTTTTAATTAAAAAACTGTTTTGCTCAAACAGTATATATAGATGAAGACTCAAACTGAATTTCTGTAGCTTCTTCAAGTTAGGATATATAAACCTATTCAACACTTCAAGTCATTATTGGATAATTATTCTGATTTTGATGGGTTTGTTTAGGTGCTTATCATATTGATTTACTCATGTACTTGCCCAGAATACCAGGAGGCTAAACCCATTTTTGATTGTAGAGTGATCTAACATGCCCTGTGTGGAAGGCCACAGAAGCAGAGATATACATGCCAAGACTCTCTCCCTTAACTTTTAGTTCCACATTTACAGCAAAGACAGTCAATCAGACTGCGACCCATTCCTCTTCAAAAGACTGCTGTCTTTCCAAATTTTGCAGTTCATCAGCAAGGATAAAAACTCTTTTAAATAGACATCAGTTACAGCATTATGAGAAAACATCACATGGATTGATGTATTTGGAGACCAGCGATGCTTATTGTTTGTAAGATGATGGTTAAGTCCTTCGTATGCTTTTAAGGTTGCAAAATATACCGAGAAAATCAAGATGTTACATAGTAGTTTAACTGGTAAAATCTGCATGACAAAGCTTATGCTAATGCTGTCAACACACAAGATTTGGAATGTGTTCATAGGCACCAAACACATTCAGTGACTTTACGACAGAAAAAAAACACAGGCTTATGCAAAAGCTGCAATTTGAACAGAATACACTCTACAATATTTTCCTTTTTTTTTTTTCTGTTTCTTTCTTTCAAGCTAGTTAGTGTACCTGCTAGCTAGGTGTACTACCTGGAGACTGTTAACTGGAATTACTGCCAGAGTATGCTGATAGCTGATCTACTGAAACAGAAGTTAAGAATTTTAGACCATGAAAATGGAAAGTATTTATGGTGCAAATTGAAACATGATGATATACTGAAATATTTCAAACAATGTCACATTGACAGATTAAGTTAAATAAATCATTTAATAAGATCTATGACCCTAATTAATTAAACTTATGCACACAATTAATCCCACTAATCAATCCAGTTAAAGACTAAAGCAGCCTCACGTGTTTGTACACAAAGTGCCCAACTGAAGTGCATTTTAACAATGCAGCTAAACAGAATGCTGGTATCAGTCAGAACTCAGTGATCATTATGCAGCTGGTAAACAGAAAAAGTATGTAAACTCACCTGTCTGGTGTTTTTGAGGTAAATGTTATATTGCCCATGATAAATAGTATTCACGCACTGTTACCTGTGTCTCGTGGAGCGTTTAGTGCTTCACAGATGAGGCTCTTGTTAGCAAATCCTTCCTTTGCAAAATTTCCACTCCTAAAAGGCAAACTCATGATATTTTGTACAACATGTAACAGGAAAAAGATTCATCCTTCATCTGTCTGTCTTCCTCATTAGGAAATACTCAGGAAAACTTTGGGGAAAAAAATAAGATTTAACATTGTTGTATTTATTAGGTTCCGAAACAATACACATTCACATCCTTTTGAATACAGTACATTTGGCACAGTAATAATGTTTACGATGAAATAACACTAATGAATGGCAAGAGATTCAAATTACATCCATAAGAAAAAAATTCTGTACAAATAAATCCTCACAATAAAAAAAACCTACCCCCCCCAACTGAATACATTTCATATTTAGCCAGAACTATTCTGCACATAATTTAAAAAGAGGTAATTTGTAAGCCTTTTTTGGAGAGAATTCTTTTTCACCCTATGGAGAAAAATGTGTTTCCATTTTTCAATAAAGTCTATTTGGGAGGAAAAACAAGAAACAATTGATTCTTTATAATTATTATTATTAATAATAATCTTTTTGGCATTTTGCACTCATTTTACAAAGAAGGAACAGGAAAGATTTTACAGAACAGGCAGAAATGTAACAGAATGTCCATTTTTAAGAATTACTTTTAAAAAATGTTCAAGGTAACAGACAAACCTTCTGATGTAAACCCAATGCAGAGGATCTAACTATTTATATTGAAGAAATATCTGCCCATGCAAAAGTTTTTATCTCCTTCACTTTTCTCTTAGCATCCTTGCAAACATTGCAGGTGCTGAGGCCTGAAATACAAACATTTGCTAATTATCTTCACGTTAGAAATGGGAACACGGGCTACATGGCTTGCTTACAAAAGCTTTATGGGACGCTTTTATTCCTTCAAAAGAAATGCTCAGAGTTTTGTGTAAAGGCCTCTTGTTTTACAAACAGTAGTGCACTATCCGATAACTTGTCTTCCTAGCCAGTCTACTCACCTATGGAAAAGAACGCTTTAGCATTGTGATCAGTTCTTGCCTGGATGTCAAAAGCTAACCGTGATGAGAAATAAACAGAGCCAGTGGCGAGACACAAATTGATGGGCAGTTCTACAATATATTTCTAAAAGAGAAAGAAATTTAAACGTTGAGATGATGCAATCATTAAGATGTTTCTGTGCTGGTACTCAGCTCCAGAAGCTAGTCTTTTCCCAGTACAAAAGATTACTGAAGATAAATTAAATTAAACTAAAGGCTTGATCCATTATTACACCTGTAGGCCAGACAACACATTAATTGATATATCATAATATTTAATATTTTGAAATCATCATAAGAATATATATAATAATTACACCTGAGTTTTAAAAACAAAACAAAATGGAACTGAATGTTGTCATCAGTAACAGGCTATGAGCAGCCAGACGCAAAACTGACACAAACTAACTCATCTGCTTGAGACCGCGATTATCTCTTAAAGCCAATGATTCACACTTTGTCCACCACAATTTGTAACATTCCTTTCTCTTTCTGAGCTCTATCATGTCATAATAGAGTTGAAGAGAACTATACAAGAGATTTAGTATAGCTTAATATATGTCTACATCTTTTATAACAAAAACCTTATCTCTCTGACAGTAACTTGAACCAATACACATACAAGAGTATTGCACATGGACATTATTATAATTATTCTTTCATAGACTAACAATTTAATAGTATGCCTGAACATGCAGCAGTTGATACCTCTATATTCAATGAATTCCACAGGCCTTGCAGCAAACACTATATACAAAATCTCACCTGTACAAAAGGCAAAAAAGCTTCTTTAGTGCCACTTTGCCAATCACAAGTATATATATTTTTGTGCAGTTGGAAATCCATGTGCAACAGTTAAAATGGATTCCAATGACCGCTCACTCAGTCCAGTAAAATATATAATAAAATGACCTCAGCGATACATGTACACAAAAAAAAACCAACCCAAAACCAAACCACAGGGTAGTCCTGGAAATATAAGTACATAACACTGTTAGCGTATCTACAGGAGGTAACTTCACATTAGTAATATTGTCCACATGAGTTACCATTTCAATTCATACACAAAAAAATTCAATTTACAACTTTCAATAATGTCAGTTTGTGAATGTTTGATCTTCAGTTTTTTAACACACTTCCACATAATGCATGAGTAGCCTTATTTTGTGTCCTCTAAAAGCAGATTTCTCTTTAGATTTTAGACATAAAAAACAACAAACACAGTAGTATTATGGTTTTGTAAAAGTGTGCAAAAGTAACACACTGCTGAGCAAATAAATATAAATAAGAAATCATTTATCAACTGAGCTACAATGGAAAAGGCAAATTTATAATGTTTATAATTAATTTTTAATGTAAAATTAACTGTAAACATTTGCAAGCTTGCCATCACATTAATGGTTCATTCAAATGGATATTAAATTTGGTAACATGGATAGTACACCCAATTGCCTGAAAAACTGTAAGATGCCTATATATAGCTGTGCTAAAGTACTATAGGCTTTTTATTCTTTAGCCCTTTAATAACTATCCATATAGTATCTATTTCTTGCTTTAAATAAAATTTCAGTTATCTTTGTGACTCTTCTTATTCCTAAGAGTTTTCTGTAAATTGTACGAGGAACTTCATCGAAAGTCTTAATTGATGTCCTTCTTTTTCTGGACAGCTTTATTTTAAGTTTGTACCTCACCACAATAAATTCATAACTGAGGATTACACCTCCATGAAGGCAGACATCTTTGCTTACCAAAGGGCAACATATTACTTACTTGTTCCACATCTAAATACAGATCTCAGCATAACCACCAGTGCAGAAGAAACAGTTCTCATGTTCTTAGCTTAAATACATACAACGATTACAGAATGTGAGCTGCTAAATTGCTCTTAATAGCACGGCTTCATTTTTCCATGGAAAAGATGCAATTTTGTCCTCTGGGGAGATCTTAGGAATAAAAGAAAAGTTGCAAATATACGGCAGTGTGTTACATCTACAATTTCTCATACAAAATTATTTTGCATTGCTTTGTGAGACAAATTAAGAGTGCTTTCAGGTCAGAAGATTAAAGGAAAAAAACAATAAATATATACTTTAACTGGGGACATGGGCTCAGGGTAAGAGAAGTAGTTTTTGATCTACTGAGTCTCAGTAACTTGACGATCTCTTCAGAATCATTTCTTGCAGCATCATTCATCTGTCAGCCTAACGTTGTCTATGGCAGTAGCTCTTCTCCAAAATAAGAGAAGCCTTTAAATTCTTCTTGATTGATTTGTTTTATAATTGTCTCATCCACTAGCGTTAATACCGGTTCTTCTCGTGTAAAGTCTTGATCAAAGTTATTTACATCCCTTTTGGTTTTCTGAGAAGAAAAATACAAATAAGGTGAATGGTAAAATAGCACAGTAAAATAAAAGGTGCTCTCCCTCTTCTCCATCCCCCCCGAAAGGCTGAATTTTCTGGAATGATTGAAATAAAAGAGGAGCTACTTCACACAAAGAATAACAGACGTATGAGAGAAGCTACAGGAGCAAGTACTATAAATGAGTTCAGGAGAGGCCACAGAAGCAGTACTATAAATGAGTTCCCAGAGACTCACGGGTCCCTGACAGGCAAAGGAATAGCAGTATGATGATAAAGCAGGAAGCTGAGATTAGGACTAGTTTAGAAAAGGCTTTGGCATAGTAGGTGGTATGGCAGTTTCCTCTTAGATTTGAACATAATGATATCTCATTTCAGAGGCACAGAGCGAACTGATTTCCCCACAATACAGCCTACTGTTTCAACTCTAAGTTAACTGTTTCTTTGTATCTGGCTAAACTCAGCTATAAAGTCAGATGTAGACCTTGCAACAGCTCTCGGTCCAAAATCCTTGAGCTCCACCTTGGCAACTCCTATTTCCTAATGCAGCCAAATGTCATTCAAAGCACCGCGGCAAAGTGTGAAATTCTGGCTCCCAAGAAATCCACCTTTGAACTCTTCTTTATTTCAATGGCACCAGGATTTCCCATTGAAGTCTAAAGCACCTCACTCTTTCAATGAAGTTGGGACAACAAAGTGCAACTGTACATGTTGTGGTTGGGATAAGATGTATTAACTAGAGACAGCCTTGGGGAGGATGACTCATTGTCCTCTGGACACTCACAACAGTGACTATCTGTGACCACTTACATGTAAAAAAACTTAAGGCTACAAGGGGAAAACATTCCCCATGATCATTCACTTGAGACCTGCACTGTTCATGCTTTCCATGTTAGCAGCGTATTTCAGGCAGGTTCAGGGAATTTGAACAAACGTTTTCCTTTACACTGTCTCTTCTCTCTTTGTTTCATGAAATCTAATAGTTACCTGAGTGATACTTAATGGAGGCACAGAGACACATTAAAAACTGGCTTTGTGTCCATCCTGCTCATGTCTGAGGTTAAGATGATAACAGAAATAGCATAGCTATTTGACTTGCAAAGTAAAATGATAACATCATAAAGTGATACATCACAAAGTACACTCAAGTATTCCAAATGGGATATATGCCTTCTTTCAATGTAGGTAAATTTTTCTGTAAAATATATACATAAATGTAGTTCCTTCATCAGCTCTACTGAGGCACTAAAACAAACAGTTTTCTTTCTCACAACTGTAAAACAGTCATAGCAACCTTCACCTACATTGTTTGTAAGAACTTTACAGAAACAGGGAAAAAAAGGTCTATATAAATACAAGAGACTGTCACTTGTAAACCAAGTACTTTCTAAGTGCAGGCGACCAAAAATCCACATTCTCTATCTACAAAATACCATTAAAAGGAAAGGAATATGGACATACATATATGTTTATATTGTTTACATTTGTAATATTTACTTTATACATAAAGACTGGACATAAAGTGTGTGTGACCCATATACTCTGAACTGGTTGAAGTGCAAGGGACATGGCTTTGGGCTTTATGTTTTTTCCCAGTCATTTGGACAAATACCGAAATTACAAATGTATATTTAAATGTAGTACACTGCAACGACATCTACATTATTCTTGTTCCCCATGTCCTACCATAGTATTTCACACACTTGTATAATGCATTTGCTACAGGAACAGTCACTAAAGCAGAAGGAGGTAAGTGAATATTTGTAGAAAGTAGAATTCAAATTCAGAACTGTAGTTATGTGCATGAGAAACGTCACTACACTCACACTTTAACCACTAGCTATCCAGGGCAAATAAGCTCTGGACTAGCTGAGAACAAATACTATATATTTTTTTTTCAGGTTTTCATACTGAATGTATTTGTGAGAAGTGTTATTTCCTTGCTGAAGCTAAAAGAATAAGAGGACAAATTCCTCAAATCCTATACGGCGCAATTAATTCCCAATAGCTACTTTTTTCTTTTTTTCCCCCCCAGAAAACCATCACTAAGATTTGTGGTGGTTTTAGGTGAAAAAGAGTGCAGGTAAGCACATCTGAAAAACTGTCCCAACACCAGTGTGCCTAAATCGTATTGATTAAGACTAATTGTACTTCCAGTAGAACTTCGAATCCCAAACATTTCTGAAAAAACAACCAAAGGTATTTGCTTAGATTTAAAAGCCTAACATGTCTTAAAATATGCCTTCAAGACCAAAGAAGGAAATAGAAGGCTTTAATTTCTCAGATTTATAAACAATTCCATGACTTTTTGGCAGCATAGATGTTAATCACCCACTTTATTAACAGGACAAGTATAGAGCAATCTAAGATTGCAAGGCTACGCTAGCAAGCCTCTAACTAACCAATTGATGAACTGAGATTAAACAAATCACAGGGAACAAAAGTGAGTGGATTAGGCCATACAAGACAAAAGGTAGATTTCATAACAAGTGCTTCTTTTCAACAGAAAGATTTATTTGAGAAACCCTCCTTAGCAACTTAGGCACTTTCTTCCTGAAGCTATGACTATTTTGCAAGGCCCCATCTGCTAAGATGAAACAGGTCTGGCCACATTTCTGCTACTATTGCTATTTTAATGTACTTGCACTGTGAATACCCTATAGGCCAACAGCATGAACCAATATATAGTTGCAGCATGAGGGCTCAGGATGAAGGTATGAAGGGCTGTGGCTGTCTCCTAGCAGAGAAGCTGAGAAAAGAAAGAAGATCTGGAAGGTAAGGAGGGTATACGAAGGAAACAAAGTGCAGCTATTATCCAACTTTGAACATTAAAAAAATATTGAAGAAAAAAGGAAAAATATTTAGATTTGCTGACAAATGCACCATTGAAAATGCAGTAATTAAATGGGTAGGACTCTGTTTATTTAGCCCGCAGTTCCTTAGACTTTGGGACATGATATTTTTAACTTTTCAAACTTTTTTCCAGGTAAAAATTTCAGTTTCAGATGACCGAAGAAACTAGGATTATTAGGAAAAAAAGAACCCCCAAAACCCCAGCTGTCCACCCAAACACATAGAAATTCGACTAGGTTTCAGATGCTACTTTTTCTCTCTCCAGACTACCCAGACACCTTGTGTTCAGCATGTGTCAATGCTACACGAGAGCAGGGGCACAGCAGCTACCCAGGAGCTGCCAACAATAGGTGCCAAATTCCACGCTGCACTGGAACTGCTCTACTGCAGGCAGCATGTGGGCAGCCCATCTCCATCTGACAAAGAACAGCAACAGTGTAATGGCACTTTTAATGACTAAAACCGACATGACTCCAATTCTAAATCTCATCTGAAAGATAGCTTCTCCACCAGCACGGTATCTCTGATAGTGAGAAGGAATAGTGACTCAGTCTCTCAGGAGGAGAGAAACGTGCTGGCTAGTTGATAGCTTATTTTTTCCAGCACTGTGAATACTTCATAGGTCTTCCACCTGAGCATTGACCTAGTGTGACCTGCTTATCCTGGGAGAAATGGTGGATGTGCTTCATGTGGGTGATACGATCTGATTAGGTGTAACACTTACGCTACAGAAATAGAACCCCTTGAATTAATAAATATTAACATGACCTACTACCTACCCATCAAGGATTACAATTTTTAAGTCAAAGACACGTTTTATTCTATTCAAAGAATGAATAATGAAGAGACAGGCTTTTAAAATTTCCAATTTCTTTAGCTTTTCAAACAGAAAGCCTATCTCTTCATACAACACCATTTAATCAGCTTTCCTAGTTGGCCTGTACAACTTTGGACAAAGGGATATTGTTTTATGAGTCAAAATGGTTTTTTTTTAAATCTCTTCACATAATTACTAAAAGATTAAAATGAACTTCATATGCTATTAATAAGCACACGTTAAACAGTGGTTTTCTGAACTGGTTTTACTTTCACTACCCTTTCAATAAAAAATTAATTTTCTACCTGCAGTCACAGACTCAAGCTTAAAAAAACCTCCAAAACATGCTTGATAACATGTCCAGTGTCAAGGATTACCAACCTTGTCTTTTAGTGATTACCAAATGACACTATATGAATTGCAACAGTGAAAAAAGAAATCTAAGTTGATGTTCTTAGCACTAAAAATAGATTAAGAAAGTTAGAACTTGCCTTCCATTAATCCATAAACTTCCATTAACTCCTTCCATTAATCACATAAATCAAATGTGAATGACAGGAGCCTTTGGTATTGAAAAGCCACAGAAGCCCTTGCAAGAAGCACCTGACAGAGGGTGTTCCAAACCAGGGAAGTCAGCAAAGCTTGGGCATCTCATCAGCTGTGTCATGAGGCCAAGAGGCTCGGCGGACTCTCTTCTGCTTAGTAAGGATTAAATTAATTCTCCAGCTTGGAGAAATTAAGAGGTATGCCTCTCTACTCCATTATTTATTTTCATTAATTTGCAGAAAATCACTGAAACTCACTCAAGTCCTTTGCAAGCTCAATGGCTCTGCTAAATTGGGCTGGAGTTGTGCAGTTGGTTCAAAGCCTACTCAGAGGAGATGAAAGAAGGATGGAGGTGGTGACTAGAAAACAACACTGCCACAAAAGCCTAGGGTTTGTGTTTTAGTCTAATTTTCCTACAAATTCATAAGATGCTGTTTAAATATAACTATAGGAATCCTCTTTAAATCAATTAATAGATTTCTGGTTAGTTTAAGAGAATTAGCAGCTAATCCACAAGAGACAGTCAATACAAATAAGTGAGGCCAGAAATGATCATTATATGTGTGTACATATATATGTATATATCTTCCAATTCAGTAAGTGGACCTTTTGAGACAAAATATATACAAAGCTCATCCATGATTTTCACAGTCTGAGATACTGCCAGCACAGAAATGGAGATGCAGACTGGACTTTCTGTATCACTGAATGAAACATCTTTAACTTTACTCCACTGCAATTTTCTGTCAATAGAACTGCTTGATGCCTTCTCCTATATTTTCAAG